ACCAACCTGGTTGCCTTCTACGACCAGGTCACAGAATCGTTGGATGCAGGGGTCATGGTGGACATAGTTTTTCTGGATTTTAGGAAGGCCTTCAACACTGCCTCTCATCCCATTCTCATAAAAAATGAGGCAACTGTGGTGTTGATGCCTACACAGTCAGATGGGTCACAAGTTGGCTGGAGGGCTGCACCCAGAAAGTAGTTGTGGATGGGTCATTTTTGACCTGGAGGGCTGTGGGCAGTGGGGTTCCCCAGGGTTGGGTCCTCAGGCCTGCACTGTTCAATATCTTCATCAGCAACTTGGACGAGGGGATGAAAAGCAGCTTGTTCAAATTTGCAGATGTGGGGAGAAGTGGGCATGCTAGAAGCGAGGGAAAGGCTACAACTAGATCTGGACAGGTTACAGGGGTGGGTGGATGATAATAGGATGGGTTTCAATACTGACAAGTGCAAGGTATTGCAGCTGGGGAGGAAGAACTAGCAGCATATCTACAGGATGGGGAACTCGCTTCTCATTAGCACAGAGGCAGAAAAGGATCTTGGAGTCACTATTGATTCCAAGATGAATGTGAGCCGCCAATGTAGAGACACGGTCAGGAAGGCTAACTGTACCTTGTCATGAGTCCACAGATGCATCACAAGCAGGTCCAAAGAGGTGATCCTCCCCCTCTATGGAACATTGGTCAGGCTGCAGTTGGAGTGCTGCGTCCAGTTCTGGGCGCTGCACTTCAGGAAGGATGTGGACAGCATGGAGAGGGTCCAGAGGAGGGCCACTCGCATGATCCAGGGACAGCAGGGCAGACTCTATGAGGAGAGGCTACGAGACCTGAACCTGTTCAGCCTCCACAAGAGGAGGCGGAGAGAGGATCTGGTGGCTGTCTATAAACTTGCCAGGGAGGACCAGCAGGCAATGGGAGAGTCCCTGTTGCCCTGAGCACTACCGGGAGTAACAAGGAATAATGGCCATAAGTTGACTGAGGGTAGATTCAGGCTAGATATCAGGAGGAACTACTTCACTGTCAGGGTGGCTAGGATCTGGAACCGACTTCCAAGGGAAGTGATGCTTGTTCCTACCATGGGGGTCTTCAAAAGGAGGTTAGATAATCACCTAGCCAGGGTCATTTCACCCCAGTACTCTTTCCTGCCATGGTAGGGGGTCGGATTTGATGATCTGCTCAGGTCCCTTCTGACCCTACCAACTATGAAACTATGACTCTATTTGGAGAGATTAAAGGGTCCTCTGATTTGATTTGGAGATTCAGCCACTGAATCGGGCCAAGTCTCCACTGAAGCGAATCAGGGACCAAACCTCTCCACAGCCCTAACTCACTCCTATTAGCTATCCTGCCATTGTCCCTATGGTCTGTGTCAGAGGCTGGCAATCTAGAGTCTATAAACTGGATCTGGCCCACAGAACCATTTTATCTGACCCATAGAATGGGGGGCTTCTGCTATATTTTGGCAGGGGGATGGGGATTGCTCAAGTGGCAGGGAGAAGTGGTGGTATTGGCACTGTGGTGGGGAGCAGTGATTGCAGCTGAAGCAGCGCAGGTCAGGTGGAAGTGGCCCACACTTAAAGCTAAGTCCCCTGCTGGAAAAGTTGCTGACTCTGCTCTCTATCATTGCCCTTATTAAAAACTAAGTATTTATTTGGCTTTTGGACCATACCTAGATTTTCTCTAATTACTACAGTGTCCTCACTGCATAGTGGTCTCACTTCTTTTCTTGTTTTCCTTTTATTCTTATGGCTGAATGTATTTGCTAAGTCTACCTCAGCTTGACTTAGAAAATCTTTCTCCAGTTTTTCTCCCTTCATGACCTCAAACATAGCTGACTTGTTGATGAGTCCCTATTCCTATTTCTTGAAGGATTTATGCTTTTTCATCTACTTAAGTCTGGAACACTTATCTAGCAGTTTTTCTCCTTTGCTTGGAATACAAATTTTGACGACATTTACCCTACAGAAATTCCAGGCCTTCTTTACATTCAAGTCCTGAGTAACTCAGACCAGTTGATTTCATTACCAAAGTATATCAAAGCTTGCACGTGTGAAATCAAGGGCCATAATTATGAGAGAGCTTCTGCTTTAATTTAAACTGAATCAACTTTTTAATCACTTGATAAAAGGTTATTTCCTATGACTAGCTCTTGTATAACATCCACACTGCTTACCAACACCAAGTTTGCAGTTTTATTGCCTCTTGTTTTAGGGAGCATTTGGTGAAAAAAAAAAATGTTGGTTACAGTGCCCAGGAATCACTAAGCTGTAGCATTATTAAAGTGCATTTTCCAATGTATATGTGGTACATTAAAGTATGCCATATTGATACAATCTCCAGTATCAGCTCTGAGCTTTTTAGCCATAGCCAAATAAGACTTTCTGGGGAAGTAGGTCTATGGCAGACTCCCACCTCTATTTCAATAAATGCCTATTTATCATCTTTCCCCAAAAATATTTTCATACAAATATATTTCATTGGATCTATGCCTTCCCTTTATAATCTTTCTAATGTATTGAATTGTTAAGGTTAATACTGCACCATCTTTATTTTTCTTTCCATGTTCCAGTCATGATTGCTATTCCCTGTGTTTCTGTTATCATTATAATATCTGAACACGCATTCTGCACCAGCTGTTCATGCTTCTCCTTTTAATTTTAGATTTTTAGGGGTTTCTTATCTTGACAATCCATTTCCTATCCAGATTAAGCAAGGAAGGTAGTATTTTTTTCTGACTACTATCAATATCAGATTTAACACTTTCTATCCTTGTGCTCAATATGCCCATTGCTGAATCTTCATTTACCAGATTTTCAATTTTCCTGCGTACCAAAATCAGGTGTTGAAATTAAATAGGTCTCCCTTCCTTTCTTAATTTAAATTTACTCTGATTGGTCATGCCAGCCTCAATGCAAGAAGGCTCTTACTTCAGGAGAATCCCTTCTTTGAGATGAGCCCTTTTTCTACGAATTCCGATACTCCCAAACTCAAAATCTTCTTCAGAGCATCAATCTTCAGCTCATACATTGCTTTCCTTTACCTTCTCACACATTTGCCCTTTAGGGGCTTCAAGACTTCTACCACAGATCACCTGAGCCTCCACCTTAAGCATCTTCCCCAGCTGTTCCTTGTTCCAGTAGGAGAGTGCAAGATCACTTGTTTCAATGTGAAGGATTCTTTTCACTTCAGGTTTGTATCTTGTATCCTTGCTTCTGACAGAGCAAAGATAGCACACTTTTACATACTCTGGATCTACTCTGATGATAGACCTGTCCATTGTTTTTGAGGAGGAGACTCCAGTCATATAGACCTGTCTCTTCCTGGTGTTGGTGTGGATCTCTTGCCTTCTCTCTCCAGTTCTTCCCTTCTGCTTGAAGATCATAGGGAAACAGGAACATAGGACTGGGTTTAAGCACAGTCTCCTGGGTTTGCAGGCAATGATTTACCCAAATTACCACTTCAAACCCAGAGGCAAATGATTTTGTGGGCAATATCTTTTATTGGACCAACTGTATAGATGAGAGAGACATAGGTAAAGATTCAGATACCTTCAAACTAAAATTGCCACTTCAAGCCCACTCACAGAATGACAGGGTGAAAAGCTGAAAACACGAAGGCTACATTACAATCTGCCACTGCTATTAGCACTACTACTGAGGGCACTGCTAATGCCCTGAAACTGCAATTCCAGGGAAGAAGTGGGTTAATACAGGGCTGTCCAACTTATGGCCTGCATGGAGCCTGTAGGCCCTAGGAGGAGTTTCTTCTGCTGCTGCACGGCAGGAAGATGCCTTCAGGTTCACATTCCTCCTTTGCAGCCTTTATGGTGGGAGCACGCAGCAGGGTATGTGGGGGGACCACACCACCAGTGGAGCCCAGCGAGTGTTGGGGGGGAATCGCAGGGGAGCATGGCTGTCACAAGGGACCAAAACCCTGTTACTTGGGTACAGTGGAAAGGGAGGAGAGGGACTGTAACAAGGAGCCAGGAGGTTCCTGTTCCTTTATGAGGATATGTGAATAAAGTAACAGTGCTTCAGAGGTGAAAAAGAGATGTGGGGTGACCAGAAAAGCCCCAAATTATCAGGTTACCAGAAGTTTACAGGCAAAAGTTGCCTACCCCACAACCTAGGGGTCACAAATATATGATCCCATATATCTCACCTGCTGATTGTTGAACCAAGAACTCCCCAGTTCATCACACTGTCCCTTCCATAAACTTCTCAAATTCAATCCCTGTAATTCAGTTCTTTGCTTTCACTACTTGGCTTAGAAGATCTTTTAAAACTCCACTCCTCTGGATAGATCTTCTACTTTCTAATCTGTATCTGGTCATAGCCAGTTTGTACCAGCTTGATCTTGTGCAGGTGTTGTTTTCCATCCACAAATGTGTTTGTAAAAAGTAATCCTATTCCCTTCCAATCTAAGTTTTATTAAGGAAAACAAGCCAAACTCCTTTAGCTTCTTTCATAAGAAAAAAATCCCACACCCCTAATCATTTTAATGGCCCTCTTTTGTACTTGTTTCAGTTTAAATTAATATTTTTTTCAACACTGGTAACTAGAATTTCTTGGGTACTATACCCTAGAATTGAATTAGCTTTTTACACTCAAATCACATTGTCAGATCTTGGGTCATTCTGTGATCAAACAATACATCTGGGTCTTTCACAAAAAGGAGTTTCTGTCCACCACACATCTCTAGTGTGCACATGTGAATTTGTACGTGAGGCTGTATGTATGTCTAAGATCATGGCATGTAGTGCTCACAAGGCATGTGTGTGTGCAGGGCAGATGGAGGATTACATTGTGTGCATTCATGAATATGCATGAGCATATTTGTGGGCTGGACGGTGCATGCTTACCTGTATGAGGAACCAAAGTCTGTATTCTGTATTTTCTTGTAATTTTCTGAACATTTTCTTTGTTTGTCCTCAGATTCCAATCTCTGGCTCTCTTTATTGTCGCTTCCTCTCTTTTTGGGGAGTCCAGTTACTCTTGTCTTCTTCCTGTTACACCAGGATGTCTCTGGGGGATTTTATTTCCTCTAGAAAA